GAGCGGTTATCTGTATAACAAAACGAAAAGACTAAGAGAGATTTTGAGAGTGTATTGTGTCTTGTACTTCTTTCTCTGACTATTTTATTAATATTTTGTAGCGATAAGTGGATGTAACTCTCACGTTGAGAATGCACCATTATACTCTTGTGTGCTACGTTCATTTCTTATTTGTCTTATCGCTTTTCTTATTGATCATTAATGGTCGAACCTAGGGCTTTTAATTCCTAACATTCAAGATGTGACATAAACCATAATCAAGTTTTTCGTTTTGCTCGGAATTTTAAGGCGTGGGAGTTATGGACAACTGACAGAGGGTTGGACTTGATGGATCCATTACTAGAAGATGCATCAGCCATGCACTTGATACTGAGATATGTTCACATAGCCCTACTTTGTGTCCAAGAAGTTGCAGCTGATAGACCAAACATGTCTCAAGTTGTGTTGATGCTAAGCAATTCTAGTCCCGCCTTACCTTATCCGAAGGAGCCCGGTTTCTTAAGGAGCACAACTACAATTAGACGAAGCCCAGCTCAGAATACACAAGAATGTTGTTCTGTGAATGATGTGACAATTTCAGTTGTAGGACCTCGCTAGCAAGTTCACACACAAAAACCCTTTTTTTTCCTTCTTTTGTTTGGTTGTAACTTGTAAGTTAACTAGTTATTTATTTATTTATTTTTTGTTTCTTTTGGCTGAGAATACAATGGAAGTTGGTTAGAAGGCCGTTTTCAAATTGCAAGTTGCAACTTTCTTTGTGCACCTTTTCCTATACGTCATGGAATTTGATAGAAATAAATAAAGTCATGTTAGAATTATTGCATATTTCTTTCTTGGATTTCAACGACCAGAGTAAAAGCATTCCCTAACGTAGTAAACTGAACTGCGTTTTTATTGCTGGTGTAATTATATAAACTATGACTAATATATTTACGAGTTCACACTGGCACCTCAAAGGCAGATGGACCACTGAAGTGGGACCCGAGGCCCCACTATTTGAGTATGAGCCTCATCAACTTTCCAGTTGGCAATAACGCATTGGTCCGATTGCTTTCGTGGTATTGGTGGGCTCTACAAAATCACCAGGGTTATTTGGGGACTCTAACCTCTTCTATAATTTTTTTTTTCTTTTGGAATTACCTCCTATAACCTTTTGTCTTATAAAATTAGAATTTTTATGGCACAGAAAGCTAATAAAAATTATTATTTTTAATCATTAGATTAATTTTATACATATTCTCATTAAAAATTTACAATGCAGGATAGAAATATGTTCCTATTACAGAATAGACCGTTGAAAAAAAATTATCCAATAATTAAAACATAATTTCTATGGATAAAATAAAATAGCATTCTTCAGTCTCCATCAGAAATGCACCCTACCAACTAACATTATTAAAATGCTATAATTATTCTTGTTGTTTATTTACTTTTTCTTACTATACTAATATTATTATGAGAAATTATTACATTAAGCCTCGTTCGTTTCGATGATTCGAGTTTAGAATTTGAGTTGAGATGTGATTATATGTGAGAGTCTTTTACTGTAGCAAAAAAGTTAGATGTGATTGTTTGTGAGAGCTTTTTACTGTAGCAAAACTCAAATTCTAAACTCGAATCAGCGAAACGAACGAGGCCAAGACTCCCAATAAAGTTAGGCCAGAGGTTAATACTGATAAATGTTAGGTGTTGGTCATGTACGTTGTTGTTGTTAATACGACATATTTGGCTTTTGTTTTGGTCGGACGAATATATAGTACATTGATTTTACATCTACAAAATGAATACCGTTTGGAAACAAGACTTTTTCTGCGGACCAGCAACATTTTGTTGGGAGACTTCCCGCACCGTGACCGACTAAACGATTAGTGTTATTGACTCGTAGCAATTAAGATTTGGAAATTAAAAGTGATTTTTAAGCATATGATAATAAATAATTGTCATGTATATCTTAATTTGTCATGACATTATTTTTAATATGAATAATAACATGCGCGTAAGTGATTGTCATTTTTTATTGTTCATATTAAAAATAACAGTTATTTATTTATGTACCTTTCTATATCATTCATATAATTATTCATGACAGATATATTTAATAATTATTTTTTATTTTTAACTTTTAATTTTTAAAATAATAATTATTATTATTCAATATAAGAAAATTATATTAATTTTTTAATCAGTT